TACCTAGCCCGTCGACGAGCCCCTACTCTGCACGGGCCGACCTCATTATTTCGCCCGCCGTTGAGCCATCGCTCCGGCCAGGCCGACATCTCCACCTAGCCCGCCGACGAGCCCCTCCTCTGCCGGGCCGACGTTTACCTTTCCTCGCCGTAGAGTCTCTACTCTGGCTTAGTAGACATTTATACTTCTTCGCCGTAGAGTCTCGACTCCGGCTGAGTCGAAATTTATATTATCTCGCCGTAGAGCCTCGACTCAGCTGAGTCGACATCTATATTTCCTCGCTGTAGAGTTCGACTCCAGCTGAGTCGACATCTATATTTCCTCGCCGTAGAGTCTCGACACCGGCTAAGTCGACATTTGTATTTCCTCTCTGTAGAGCCTCGACTCTGGCTGAGTCGACACTTATATTTCCTCGCCGTAGAGTCCCGACTCCGACTGAGTCGACATCTATTATTTCTCGCCGTAGAGTCTTGACTCCGGCTGAGTCGACATCCAAATTTCATCGTCGTAGAGCCTCGTTTCCGATTGAACCTATGAGCCACGAGGCCGCAATGCCATAAAACTACGAGCCGCAAAAAACGAATGAAAACCCATTAGGGTAAAACGACCGGACAACGTAAATTTGTCTGGCGTAACTAATGATACTCCATTAGGGTAATAAGGCCGGCCGGCGCAAAATTAAAATGACCGGGCAACGTAAATTTGTTTGGCGTTAAAATATGACCTCGTTAAGGTAAAAAGTCCGGACAATATAAATATATCTGGCGCAAAACAAATAAAACCCAATAAGGGTAAGCGACTGGATAGCGTAAATTTATCCAGTGCAGAATGAACGAAATCATACGGAGATAATCGACCCCACAACCGGACAACGCTAACTAGTCCAGGAAAGACATTCATTCGCATAACATAGAAGATTCAACGCACTAAGAGCATCAAACATCCATCACATACATTTATCATAAACTCACGCATTCATCACATGCTCGCATTACACATACACTCATGCATGGCACAAAAAGCTAAAAGCTCACTTAGACAAAAAGCTCAAAGCTCACTCATGTCTAGTATCCAAAAATGTATTCCTACGAGAAACAAGGCCAAAGACCTGATGTCAAATTATCCGAACAGGTCAACATAAAGTACTAAAACGGTCACATAAATTAATGTTAGAATCATCCAAATACAACTCAGAACCACCAAGCAAATCATATTAGCGAGCGTCTTCATATCAATCGCTAAAAATCCAAGGGGCTCGAGTGCCCGCACAAATCCATACCATTACCATCTTTACACAAAACTAACAAACTATTCGCATTGCACAAATCGCAAAATCGGGTACCAAATTACCCGACTAGGCCATTTAGGCCCCATTCAATAGAAATCCCAAAGGATTGTCTATCCGTTCCACTGACTCACACTCGTCAAAGTGCAGAAGAGCGCAACTAACACAAATTCGTCAGGCCAAAGCCTAAAAAAATCGACAAAGCGTACAAGGGTCCCAAAGCACCCAGAAATTTCATATCAATGCGCATTTACTTGCAAACGCCGATAAGATAAAAACGCGATCTTATGTATCACGCAAACGTCATTTATTATAGCGTAAAGAGCCCCAAGCTCAAAAGACTACAAGCATAAGCACTGCCAAATTGAAAATAAACGCGACTTCAGAACAGTTCTATCCAGAACATGTCCTAAACTCGGGGACCTATGGGTGATACCCAATTTGGCTACGATTAATAAAAATAATAATCTAACACATTAAAATATCATTTGTATTATTTTATTCCTGATTATTTCTTGTCCACATGTGAGGCTATATATGTTTGGCTACCATGATTGTAGAGGGGATACCACCTTATCCAAATGAAATCTCGGAAGAGAGAGAAAAAGAGGGATTTTTCCCAAAATATCAAGAAATATAAAACTTCAGCTTCCTTATTGGGCTTTTCTTGATTTTGTATAGCAAAAGTCATATGTTTATTTTTGTGAACAAAGTACCCGAGTAATGTACGGTTCACCCCTGTTGCTGACATTTTTTAGCATCAACACTGACATTCACGACATACAGAGACCAGTCTGGTCACAGACGAGCACTGTCACTGCCGAGCACCGTACCGGCTCGGCTAAGAGAAGTGGCGCATTTATTATGGACGAGGCTCCTAACTACCTTGTTGTCGGGTACACGCGTCAGTTCAGCCCTGATCTGATGCCCTTCGAGATTCGCAGTCAATCATTACACATTTAATGAAGGAATAATTGCCAAATTTAGAAAAGATTTTGTATTACACGCAGTTGTACTACACACACGCACAGTAGAATGTAGTACAACCGCTATAAATAGAAGGGAGGTCCATTTCAGCAGGATCTTTTGGCTGATCCCACAATACAGTACAAAAGAACGAAGGCGAACTGACCTTACAGTCCGGCACCTCATATAAGGATTAATGAAAAGTTCCTTTTTATCTCATCTCGCTTTAAACAATCGTTGTTGCGAAAATTGATAACAACAATATGTTTGGTGTAGTTTTCTTATCCAACAATGGTGTCTCATCTAAAAGGGGTTCAAAAATCAACCATGGCCGATCAAATACGAAAAGCATTATGTGAGTATAGGAGAGAGATCACCCCACAATCACTCAAAAAGAAATACAACAATGGCTTGATGAAAAATATCATTTGAATGTTAGTCAAGATACAATACCAAACACTATCAAGATATCAGTTGAGTATTTTTTGGCTAACAAAGGAGAGGATATTAAATGGCACAAACTAGCAAATTTTCCAGAGATGGAGAAGGTAATTTATTAGTGGTTTCTTCAATACCAGGGCAGTGTAAATATTACTAGAGAGCAAATTTAGGAGAAGGCAAAGGGGACGATGAAACTTTTATACCCGCAACAGCCTTCTGAGCACAGACTTTCGTTAGGTTGGGTTGAGATGTTCAAGCTGAGACATGGTATCAAGTCATTCCATCGTTTTGGAGAAAGTGGTTCGGTTGACATACAGGACATGGAGCAGAAATTGGAGTGTATAAGGGAAAAAATAGACGAGTTTCGTAAGTAAGATGCTTTCAATATGGATGAGACTGGTTTGTTTTACAGATTACAAGTTGATCATTCTCTTGCAACAAAGCAACTTGAAGGAAGAAAACAAGACAAAGAAAGTCTTACAATTGTTATTTGTTGCAATGAGGATGGATTAGAAAAGTTCCCCTATGGATTATTGGAAAGTTTGCAAAGCCACGTTGCTTTAAGAATGTCAATATGAATGGTTTGAACTGTCAATATCGTGCCAATAAAAGGGCATGATGACTAACGTGCTTTTTGAAGAACATGTTCGTTGGCTAGACCAAAAAATGCATGGTAGAAGAACTTTGTTGGTGGTAGATAATTGTCCAACGCATCCAAGAAATGTTGAAGGACTGAAAAACGTGGAGTTGCTTTTTTTTCCCCACCTAACATGACATAAAAAATCCAACCATGTGACGATGAAATTTCAAGATGTATTACCGCAAGCGATTTTACCGGATGACATTGGAAGGCTTTGGGATTGGACAATCTGATCCAGAAAAGATTAATGTTTTAGATGCCCTCATTCTTGCACTATCAGCTTGGACGGTAAGTGTCCAACAAGAGACAATATCAAATTGTTTCCGACATTGCAAAATTCGTTTGGGGGATGAAGCAACATTAAGTAGCTCTAATGAAGTGGCTTTTGAAGAAAGCACTTGTGAACTTGAGAAAATGATTAATGATATGTGTTACCACAACAAAATGGATGCCAATCACTTATTAGATTACCCAGGTGAACTGTAATGCCTCGAACCTTTTTTATTATATATGAGCTCGACTTTAGTTTCATAAATAGCAAGTTTTATTTATTCTAAGTTCTATTTATTTTTCGAGCATTAAATTTATTTATAAATCCCAAGTCTAAACCATGGAGGATTCGTTCAATTTTATTTTCGAAATTGAATTTAGTTTAGCCTAAGTATCAATTTCATTTTTCTAAGGAAAATGGCCGTGAACTTGGCCATTTTTAATCTGAAACCGAGCGTTAGATAATTTGAGAAATTAAATAGAGTCGAAGCCCGGTCGAGCCGAGGCCTCGGCCCAAGCCCAAGGCCCAATGTCACGGCCCAATGGCCGAGCCCATCATTCCCAAGCCCAATTTCCGCGCGCGCCCGAGCCAATGACACGGCCCAATGGTTAGCCCAATTTTCTAGCCCACTCAAACCAATGGCCGAGCCCATTTCCGAGGCCCAAGTTTTAGTGCTAGAAGCCCAATCCAAATTTTAATCCATTGGCCCAAGCTTAGTACATTAGGGTTTATGTACTCGGTGGTCAAGACTAAAGTTTAAATTTCATTAAATGCTCACCTACCAAGCATGTACCTTTGCTTTTGCACTTCTTGTCCCCTAACCCTAATCATAACCCTAGCATTATATAAAGAACCACACCCTATTAGTCTTCATTTTTCCTCTGCATTTTCAAGCAATATTTCCTTGTCTTAGTCCAAACTTCCTCTTCTTAGCCAAGCAAATTTTCCAAGTCCCAAATTTCCTTAGCCACTAAAAAAATCCCTAGCCTTTGCTCAAAAAATTTTGGCCCCTTCAATACCCGATCTTGGATCCACCGCACGCGCCTAGCCCCAGCCGAGAGCTCCCAGCCGTGCCTCAGACGAGCAGTAGCCCGACGACCCGAGTCCCTTGCCGCCCAGCTCTCAGCTGAGCCTCTGTCCGCACGCCAGCGTCCAGCCAAGCAGCCGTCACGCATCCAGCTCCTGCACGCCAGCTCCCTGCAAGTTCGAAGCCCAGCTTCTAGTTCTGAGACCACCCGTAGCTCCCAGCTCCAGATGCACACGCTCCAGTGCCGAGACATCCAGATCCAGCGCCCAACAGCCCAGATCCGACCGCGCCAAGCCTCTTGCCTTCTTCCTTTTCCCAATCTAAGTCACGAAGAAGGTAGATCTATCAAAACCCCCTCCAATGGCTTACATCTAATTTATAAAGTATTTTAAAAATTATAAAATCAAGAAAATGAAGTAGATATGTGAGACCAAAATTTAAGGAAATAAAATGATTGATTTTTGGAGATCGAGTTGTATAAGTGCTAATTATGTGATTTAAATTCCTAAAATATTAGAATATTTTTCTTGACCCTGAGGTTTAAATTTTAGGATTTTTGGAGATCATTTGCTATGTGAACTAGAAATCTAGATCTGGATTTAAAATGGCTATTTTATAAAATTTGAGTTAGAGATGTATTCTTACTAAGATATTTTGCCTAAAAATCTTAAATATCATGTTGAGGTTGTGTTTAAAATTTGAGGATATTTGGAAGTCCTTTGATAGGGTTTAAAAAATCGGGACTTAAGCCATAAATTGGTATATTTTTAGATGCTTGATATGATGGGACCTAGTTGAGGTTTGTAGATATTATATCCTTATGCATAGTGATGAGTCTATGCCTAAAGTTTCGGCTTGAAATGAGTTAGGTTGTTTGGAGAACTAGAACCCTAGATCGACCCGTTTTTAGGTACCGGGAAATTTTAAATTTCGTGCATATTTACCCGAGCCATAATAGCCTAAGGGGCTTTAGACGTCATAAGGATCATATTGAACGCTGGGTTGCCAGAAAAGTCGTCAACCTGCCGGCGAGCCGCAGCCCCCGCGCAGCAGGCTGATGAGTTGATGAAGATGTGGGTTTCGAGGCCCGAGCACGCTGAGGACCAAGGGCCGGAACGACCCGAAAAGGCCGAAGAAAGGGCCAAAACCACGTATGCATGGCCTAAGAGACGAGTACGAGCCCGTATCCGAGGCACACAAGCACGAGAGGAGCGACATGAGCCGTGGACACGTGCGGGAAAAAGAGTCGATGACGAGCACGCGACGTCAAGCTCAAGAGGGTCGAGCGCCACGCGAAGGTCGACCAAGGCAAGAGTGACGAGGACGAGCACCCGAGACCGAGCTTCTCAAGTATGGACACGACGTAGACGTATGGGCCTGGGCTTAGCGAAAGTAATCCGGTCGAGCACAAGAGTTGCCAATGAAGGTTGCACATGGAGGTGCGCGAGGGCACATGAGAAGGTGGTCCGTAGGTGGGCTACATTTAGGTGCGAACACACGCGACGGCCTAGACGTGCATGGGCGAGACCACGCCTCAAACGGACGCGCCATCGGAGGTTTCGGGATGCACATCGAAGGAGTGAAACGTGGTGGGGATGGCCAAAGCATCAAGTGGCTCGAAGGAGTGGAAGGCACGCTAGCCGGGTGCACAACACGCGCAGCACGCACGCATGGACGCGCAGACAGCGCGCAGGCGCACAGTGGCGCGCGGGGCCACGCGCAGACGGGCGCACGCGCAGGCAGACCACGTCGCGCGGGTGACTTGCCGAGCAAGGAACCAAGGCTTCTAGAGATCTTTTTGAGCTGAATCTTCTCTAGATTATTCTTGATACTTTCCCACATGTTTTAATAGCTTTCCTTAGCATGTTAGGAGTTTGGTTTAGATTAGGATATTAGATATTTAGTTGCCTTAGGATTTATTTATTTACTTGCATTAGGAGATCTTCTTAGACTAGGATTAGATCTAGATGGTATCTATAAATACCCACCTATGTACCATTCGAAATTAGAATGGAAAAGTAATAGAAAATCGTTCGTGAGAACAAAACCCTGTGTTTAGAATTCGTGAGAGTTTTATCATACAAACCGAGTTGGCGAGGTTAAGACCCGAACCATCTCAAAATCGTGAGAAGATAAGGCTAATAACCGAGTCGTCCACACCTATCGTCGAAGGACAAGCCGTGGCAAAGCTTGGTTCGAGACAATCGAGTTGGGAAAACACACGATCCTTCATCACGAGTGTCGCGCGCCTCGCTGCAGCAGCGCCCGCGCGCATGAGGTCCCAGCACGCCTCGCGGCGTACGCCGCAGTTAGTCAGCGCGCATCAATCGCCGCGCGCGCGAGCCTCTGTTTGTACGAGACCCTGTCTGCGCTTGTCGCTTGGAGCCGTGCCGTCGCAGCGCCTCGTCGCTGAGCCACCCGAGTGTGTTCTCATGCACTAGGAGTCCCACGCCCGTGCGCTTGCCAACCCTGCCAGTGCGTCGAACGCTCGCCAGCCCTGCCAGTGGCCGTGGCACATCTTATAAAGTCCGTGCGCCGGCAAGTTCGTGCCAGCAAAGTCCGCGTGTGCCCGTGAGCTGCCGTGCCAGTGGACCCTGACCGCGGTCGAACCGGGCTGC